GAGGCAGAATCTATCCTTGTTATTTCTTAGTGGCTCTCCTCCTTTCCTATTTCCCTTTCTCCTTCTAGCTTCCAAACTCCCATCCTTAGTTTCTGTAGCACAAAGGCAAGTACAAGGTCTTCCTGGTTTGTCACTATATGCCAAGGGTTATCACAAAACCTGGAACACAGAAAGGCACCTATTCTTTCATTGAATTAATTTTACATTAATTACTATAGTGAGTTCATCTATAATAAATTGAGATTATCACATCTATGTTATCAATTTCCAAGTCTACATTTGGAACCATCTAATTTCTCATTGCCCAAAATTAGCTTCTATTACAAGTCCAATACTCACCTTGTCCAAAACAAGGCCATTTTTTCTCTCAGTTTGGTACCCCCTAAATATTATTTAATTTCCTTCTGTTCTCTCAGGCTGAAAATCTCACAGGCCTGCTTTATTTTCTCCCTCCTCTTTATGCCCTATCCAATGTATAAACAATACAATTTTTGTTGTTTATAAATTATCCAATCTAGGGTATTTTGTTATAGTAGCCTGAATGGACTAAGACAATGGGTTAGCTGCCTAGTGTATCAAGTCTACACTACTCTGCATAGCTTTTGGTGACCTCTATATCCTCACCAACTCCTAGTATATTTCACTTTCATTTCTTAATAATTTTTTCACTGGATATAGAACTGTATGTGGAAGTTACTTTCTTTGAGTACTTTAAAGGTTTCATTCCATTGCATTCTGACTTCCTTTGTTTCCATTGATAACTTAGCTGAAAGTCTTAGGGTCACTCTTTTTGAAGTTTACATATCTTTTTTCCTCAGGCTACTTCAAAACTTTATATCTTCATATCCCAGCGTAAGTATGGTCTTCTGTATATTCATCTTGCCTAGGGATTATAGTGCTTATTGAATCTACAGCTTGGCATCTTTCATCAGTTTTGAAAAACTTTCTCCCATTATCTGTCAAATGTTATTTCTGCCTTGTTTTTTCTCTTTCCTTTCCTTCTGGAAGTCCAATTACAAACATATTAAACTTCTTCACCTTTTCCTGTATTTCTCTTACATTCTTTTGTGCATTTTCTAAACTTTTGTTTCTCTGTGCTTCAGTCTAAATATTTTACTCTCTCTTGCAGTTCTGATTCATCTTCCAGCTCACAAATTCATCTGCAGCTATGTCTCCTCTGATGGTAAAACCCCATCAATTGAGTTCTTAATACAGTTCTAGAATGTCCATTTAAAATGCACTTTCAATTATTTGCCAAGATTATCAATCTCAATCTTGTCAATTAATTCCTTGAACATATTAATTATGGCTATTTTAAAGTCTAAAAACTCTAGTATCTGAATTTCTTGAGTTTGTTTCTAATGTCACTTGTTTCTGTTGCTTTTCAGTCACGTTTTGTTTTGTATGCATGCTTTTTTTTAAATAGAAAACTAGATAATGCATATGAAAAATTCTAGAGATTTTTTGAGGCTCTAATTGATGTTGTCTTCTTCCAGAAAGGATTTACTTTTATTTCTGAAAGGAAGTTAGGCCACTAGCACTAGCAATCTCAGATCATCTTAATCCAATTAGCGTTAAAGATCATTTGAATCTGTGCTTCAATTCTTGTGAGGGTTGCTTTGTTTTCAGTCTACCTCACTTTCAGAATTTGACCTTTCACAGTTCCAGTTCAAAGTCTGGGATTTTACCAATACTCATCCCGACCCTTGGCAGCCCTTGACTCCACCTTTTGCCTCCTTATCTTTATGGACCTGTCAGATACTCCTTTCAGAACCTACTGGTATCTCTAGGAGATAAGCAACACCAAGTGCTAGGCTTACATCTCTGGGCTTTCCTCCTCTCCTCACTGTCTTGGTAGACTTCCAGTTCTTCAGAATTTTATTTCATTTTCATCCAGGTTTTCTGGCTGTTCTCAGCATACTGATGCGCTTGAAACGACCCATTCCACCATCATGGGATGGCTAAACTCTCCTTTATCATCTGTTTTGCCTCAAGCTGCCCCGTGCTTTAAGTCTACACTACACTGCATGGCTTTCAGCCCCCTCTATATCCTCACCAACCCCCATCTATCCAAATTAGAACATAAGCTTTGAGGTTGGAGGGTGTTCATGTTTAAACTGTGGTTTTACTCTACTTATACTACATGCCATTGGACAAGTTATTGAGCTTTTCCACAATTAATTTATAAAATAGGGGTAGTAAAATCTGTTTCACAGGGTCAGTGAGATTAAATAATATGGGTAAAATACTTAGCACAATCCCAAAGTAATAGCAGTTAGCACTTACTGAGTATTATTATCACTGCTAGTTCTACTAAAAATAAAAAAATGAGTCAACCTATGCGTGAAACTCATCCATTTCTTTACTCTGGCAAAATATGTGTACACATTTTCACCTTCATAGCTTGTTCACATTATTCCTCAATTTTCTCTTTTCCTAATGCAATCCAACATATGCTTCAAGGCCCAAGTGGAGTTCAACCTCCACTGTGAAAAGTATGCTAAAATTTCAAAATCCATACTGATATGTACTTGCTCTAATTCCTATTCAACTTATCAACACATGATTTATCAACTATTCCCTAATTTTGTTTTATGGATTGTTCCCTAATCTAGTTTTTCCTTTCCAAAACTAGATTATAAAGTGCTTACAAAAACAGCCAATATAATTTGTATCTTTTATAGTACCCAGGATAACATCAAACATGTAAGATGTTCTCAAAACATGCATGTAGCTCAGGATAGAAGAAAAGAGTTCCTCATATTCTATGAACATTTGAATTAATACTGCAAAGCACATAGAATGGGGGAGGGGTGCAGAGAGACACAGGCAGAAGAGAAGGAAATAAGTAAATAAGCACATCACAGAAAGATTTTCTAGTAAAACATTTACTTGAATCTTTACTGTAAGAGTAACTTCAGCTTACCTAGTTGCATTATTTGAAAAATAACAATTCAAAGTCCAAAGTTCCATTTTTACAATTCAGTGTTTAGAATTTAACTGGAACTGGCCAGGCGTGCCAAGGTGGGCAGATCACCTGAGGTCAGGAGTTTGAGACCAGCCCGGCCAACATGGTGAAACCCTGTCTCTACTGAAAATACAAAAATTAGCCGGGCGTGATGGTGCACACCTATAATCCCAGCTACTTGGGAGGCCGAGGCATGAAAATCACTTGAACCTGGGAGGTAGAGTGAGCCGAGACTGTGCCACTGCACTCCAGCCTGGGTGAAAGAGAAGACTCTGTCTCAAAAAAAGAAAAAAGAAAAGAAAAAAAAAAGCTCAGAATTTAACTGGAACTTTCTGGTTTGCCTGAGTAGGCTCTTCCTTTCATTAAGAAAACAAAAGAAAGTAAAACCTTAACTAGTTCAGGAAATTAGCTAACACTGATCTATCAAAGGATACTCTCCTAAATACTAGTCATTTGTCTTACTTATATTCAAAATGAACTACTCATGAGAATGAGAACAAAATAAACATTTAAAAGATGTACTTTTGGCTGGGCGTGGTGGCTCACACCAGTAATCCCAGCACTTTGGGAGGCTGAGACAGGTGGATCACCTGAGGTCAGGAGTTCAAGACCAGCCTGGCCACCATGGTGAAACCCCATCTCTACTAAAAAATACAAAAAAAAAAAAATAGCTGGGCGTGGTGGTGGGCGCCTGTGATCCCAGCTACTTGGGAGGCTGAGGCAGGAGAATTGCTTGAACCCAGGAGGCAGAAGTTGCAGTGAGCCAAGGTTGTGCCATTGCACCCCAGCCTGTGCGACAGCAAGACCCTTGTCTCAATAAAAAAAGAAAGAAAAAAAAAAAACAGTACAGAAAAAGATGTACTAAAAGGATCTTTAGTTGTAATTCTTTCAAATTTTTTGAGAATTTATTTTATCATAAATGTAGAAAACATAGTAAATGCTTTCCTATAATACGATAACATTACTTTAACTTTTAATAAAGATTATTCTCCCAAAATTGTCCCCTCTCTGATAATTTCTGATTCCATTCCCCACCCCACAACCTAATATTTTATTGATAAAAAATTGTGCTTTGCTATCTGACACAATGACGTCTTTTAGTGATTGCAATTTAGAACAAAATTTTCCTTTTAGGAAGCGGTCGTGTCATTCAGTGTTCAACAACTGTCATATGCTAATAATGATGCTAAAATATACTTAGGATCATTTACACCTAATAAGTTGTGATACCTAAAAGTGGTATATTTGAGATCTTGGACTTTTTAATCCCTGCTCAAATAGCCACATGTGTAGCAGAAGCAGCTAAAATTTGAATATTCTATTTTTATAACCTTACAAGAAGAATTCAGATTCCTAGATGGAAAGACAAACACACAAGTACTTTGTAGAAAAATGACTGTGAACATACGTTATTTCAATTTTTTGAGGGTAAGGAGGTAAGATCTCTTTTAGATGTCAAAACAATTTGGCAAACATTTGCCCATTTGTAAGACAATCAGCAAGAGGAGAGAGCATAGGAGAGTTAATTCACATATAATATGTGAATATGTATGATCCAAAAATGGTAAATATACAGCAGTCAATTTCTTAGCAGACTCTTCTGCCCATCCCATCAAGGTTATAGGGACCATGACTGCATGCTTTTTTTTTTTTTTGCTTTTTTTTTTTTTGAGATAGAGTCTCACTCTGTTGCCCAGGCTGGAGTGCAATGGCAAGGTCTTAGTTCACTGCAACCTCTGCCTCCCAGGTTCAAGCAATTCTCCTGCCTCAGCCTCCCAAGTAGCTGGGACTACAGGCGTGTGTCACCACACCCGGCTAATTTTTGTATTTTTTAGTAGAGAAGGGGTTTCCAGGTTGGTCTTGAACTCCTGACCTTGTGATCCACTCACCTCAGTCTCCCAAAGTGCTGGGATTACAGGCGTGAGCCACCACGCCTGGCAACTAAATGCTTTTTTAGCAAGATATTTTAACATGACCACATTTGCAATGTGAAGAAAGGCCCTACATTTGACATCCATGCATGACAGCTTACCCACAGCATTGTAGAGAGGCTCTCCAGTTATCTTGTCCCAGACTACAGTGGTTTCCCTCTGGTTGCTGACACCAATAGCTTTAAAGAGAAAGTTAAACAGAAGGAAGTCGAAATTTTAACAAGTAGGAAACTACTTCAGGAGAATAGCTCTCATCTTACTAGAGACGCAACTAAACATAACAAATCAAAAAAATATTTGAAATATTTGTAGTGATTCGTTTATTTTCTTTGAGTGGCTCCAGAAAAAGTCAATACTCAATGCCAAGTATTTCTTTTCATTTCTACATACTCCTTCCAGCTTTACTACTAGCACACAATGACATGGACCCAGATCAATACCCAAATAAAAGGCACACTGGTTGCTTTAAGGAATGCAATAACTTTGCAAATTTATAATACCCAATTTATTATTCTGAGCAGACCAATAATCAACTCATTCAATTGTTTACCAAATGCTACAAGAAATTTTCCTCCTTATGTGTGTGCATTTGTGTGTGTGTGTGTGTGTGCGTGTGTGTGTGCGTGCATGTACATGCCTACATTTTAAGAAAATAGCTATGGACAAAATCCTTTATGCTGAGCATCCTTATGATTTGTTAGAAATTCAGTTTTATTCCTGTATTTAATATGTCACAGTACATAAGAATTTGAATCAGGCATAAATATAATATATAATGGCATTTACATTACACTGACCTACATAAAACAAGTACAAGTACTGTATTTAATGTAAAAAAACACTAACCCACACTATCACACTATCTTACTCAATTCAGCTTGCTTGAGCTAAATTGGAGGTTTTCAGACTTGATTGTACTTTAGAATCAACAAAATCAATCTTTTTTTTTTTTTTTTTTTTAAAGACGGAATCTCGTTCTGTGGCCCAGGCTGGAGGCTGGAGGGCAGTGGCGCGATTTCGGCTCACTGTAAGTCCCACCTCCCAGGTTCACGCCATTCTCCTGCCTCAGCCTCCCGAGTAGCTGGGACTACAGGCATCTGCCACCACACCTGGCTAATTTTTTGTATTTTTAGTAGAGACAGGGTATCTCTGTGTTAGCCAGGATGAACTGAGGAGCTCTTAAAAAGTACCAATGCCCAAGCCCTGGTCAAAACATTCCAATTTAACTGACCTGGGATGGGATGTGAGCATTGCTATGGGGGGGTCCTAAAACTTCCCCAGGTGATTCTAATGTGCATCCTGGCTAGAACACACTGGGCTAAAGGATCCAGCTCTTCCAGAATTTAAGATCAGGACAGACCTTAAAGGCTGTATAACAAAAAATACTTTCTAAGCTCAAATCTTCTCTAGAATCACCTGGCATATGACCATCCAGACAGCACTTCTAGTGACAAGATATTCACTACATCTCTCAAGGCAGAGCAATCTCTATTGGACAACTTTGGTGCTTTTCTTCTTTTTGTAAATCCACCAGACTGGAAAACGTAGCAAGACCTCATCTCTACAAAGAAATAAACTAATTAGCCAGATGTGGTAGTGCACAACTGTAGTCCTAGCCACTCGAGGCTGAGGCAGGAGGATTGCTTGAGCCCAGGAGTTCAAAATCACCCTGGGCAAAATAGCAAAACCCAGTCTCTATAAAAAATTTTTAAAAATTATCCAGATGGCCTGGCGCGGTGGCTTGCACCTGTAATTCCAGCACTTTGGGAGGCCGAGGCAGGTGGATCACCTGAGGTCAGGAGCTCAAGACCAGCCTGGCCACCATGGCGAAACCCTGTCTCTACTAAAAATACAAAAAATCAGCCAGGTGTGGTGGCGTGTGCCTGTAATCCCATCTACTCAGGAGGCTGAGGCAGGAGAAGCACTTGAACCCAGGAGGCGGAGGTTGCAGTGAGCCAAGATTGCGCCACTGACCTCCAGCCTGGG